TATATATATATTTGTACATATATATATTATTTATTTCAATTAAAGCGGTAATTCATAATTTCCTATTTCCTAACTAGGTTTATAATCTAAAATTGTTATTTTTTGGATGTTAATATGTAATATTTTGGATGTCAAGTCAAAATACAATTACTCGATAAGTTTTGTATATTACTTGGATTAAATTGATTTTTTTTTTGGTTTTATGTTACTAATTCTTACATGATGTTGTGGTTTTTTTGCATTAAATTAAATTCATTTTGGTTTTAGATTTATTAAAAATGTTTGAGATTTCAACATGTATGGTCTCTTACATATTTAATTTAAAATAACTTACATAAACGAAAAAAAATTCTCGTTTCCCCGTTGGGGATCCCCGTCCCCCGTTGAGGATGGGGATGGAGATGTGATCATATTCCCCGACGGGGATGGGGATAGAGATAAGTAATCAGGGACGGGGACGGAGATTGAGGTCCCCGCCCCATCCCTGCTCGCGTTCAAAGTTAGGAAAACTCTAAACTCAAGGTCTTTAGACTTCGTCTTCAGATTTTACACTTAGACGCTCTTCGGGTCTTCTCTTGAGATAACTCTGAAGAATGACTCTACTTGTACTTGTACGCCTTGAGAAGCTGTCACCCAAACTCTGAAGTCTTCAAGTTCAAAGATCTGAAAATAAGTCTTTAGACTTATACTTAGCCGATTTAGCATTTCTTTAGTTCAGATCTCTAAAAATTTGTTTTTCAGATTTCTGAAGCAAACTTTGTAGACTTCTATATTTGGCAAATTTAGAAGCAATCTTCTTCATACCTTTCAAATTTGCTTTTGTAAATCGTAAGATGGAGAAGACATTGTTACCTGATTGAATGATCGTTAATCAAAATGATTATTAGAAGATTTGAAAATTTCAAAAATGAACAGTATCCCCCTACTGCGACTTAGCATGGGGGTCCTTCAAAGTCAAATTCTGAATGTCAACTATCGCATGAAATCAAGTATCACAGAACCTTGGTCAACTATCATAAACAACAAGAATGAACAATAACTATCGGAGAAGCAATATACAATATACTCAACTATCACAGACGACAAAAATGAACACTAACCTATCGGACGTGTCTTGTGCGATATACTCAACTATCGCAGATAGAATGTAAATCCAAGATTAAATTGCTTCAAAGTTACTAAATGTCATTGTCTGAAGACTTATCTTCAGAATTCTATCTCGCCAAAATCCAAGGTTCGGGTCAAGAAAAGTTTACAAGTAATAACTCTTAAGAGTTGTGATCCCAGATTCAAGTCTTTATCAACAATTCAATACAAATCAAGAACACAGATTGATGATCTTAATATGTCGACATGTCTTTCATGTAATTTGAGTACAAAGTGTTCTTGATGCAATCACAGATTCTCTCACTGATTGTTTGTGTATGGAATAATATGTTATGTTAACTACCAACTAACAACTTCTATTTATAGGAACCTATTACAAGGAACAAAACTACAATTACAAAGCAATTAAAACAAGTTTAAGCACGAGACTTGAATACAACATTTAGACCCAACAATCTTCCCTTTTAGATTCAAGTCCAAAAACAACAAATTCCTCAGATTTTTAAGCTTTCAATTTTAACAACGATTTGCAGAATTCATTCTGAAAGCATGATTTCTTCAAGATTTGATCTTTTAAGCTTTGACAATCTTCCTCTTTTGAAAACTCTTTTTTCAAACTTTTATTCTACCATCTCTTGAAATCTCTTAACTACAATATTAACATAAAGTACAACTTATCGATGCTATACAAATACACACACTCTCTCTCTCTAAGTATTAAGTAGTAACACGCTATCTCTACAAAGTGACGATTGAACACTCCTCTCAGACCACGCTTTCTCTACCAAAGTGACGATTCAAAGGCCGATCACCATTCCTGTCCTGGTACGACGATTCACACTCCACCGAATACTGGTATGTATATGCTCGTTTCAAGACTCCATCGAATCACTCGGTCCACATAATCCATCGATTCACTGGATTTTGATTTTGCATTTTGCATTTTGATTTCGAGTTTTCTCTCCCCCCCCCCCCTCTCTCTAGGGTTTCCAGAAGCGCCATTTTAGGTTGTTTGTTCGTCAGGTAATCGATGTATGCTGAAATTTCAATTTTCTTATTTAGATATGATCTCTGCTTTTCAGTCCAATATCTCCTGTTCAGAATTTGATATTGATGCTATATTTGTTTCTTGACATATACAACAACGATCCCAATTGGTAAAATCTACTTTATCGTTACCCGTCCCTTATGGTGGTTATATTAGAAACCTATTGATTTAAACCATTGGTGCTTATTTTGGGATAGAATCTGTTTTCCAGGGATAAAGTCAAACTTTAAAGGGTTCCTACTTCTATGTTTCACAATTCTTGTCTTGCATCAAAGTGAAACATTCATATACTGTTTCATGTATTTAGGAAATTACTATCCCCCAACCCCTTTGCTTCCTCTTTTGGATTTCACAAGCTAGACGGACCTAGGGGGTGGTTAGGTGGCACGTGCCACCGAATTGTTTCTCCATGGTAACATAAAAAAAATTAGGTTCGTGAAAGGTGCAACCGTTTTATATGGTGCCACCGTATCCAAAAAATCTTCGGTCGGTCCCTATAATGCACTCTTTGTAAAAAATCACTCATTCTCGCAGTGTTGCGTGTGTGTTTTGCAATTACACAAGAATGGTGGTTTGCGATAAGAAACTAACTACAATAATTTGAAAATTCAATATGCCGTATCGGGAGAGTGTTTGTCACTTAGGGGGTAACCCATTCTCTAGAAGCTTACATTTCCATTCCAGGTTAAATTGGGGGAAATTAAAATTCATTCTCATTTTCATTCTTTTGTCATTTTCATTCCCTTGCCAGAACCAAATGCCTTCTTATTCTTACTTGACTTCCAGAAGAGATTAATATGCTTTCTTGATTCTTGCTATGCGATTAATATGCCTCACTCGATTAGTATGTGATTTACAGAATGTTTTCTTGATTCTCGGTATATGATTAGTATGTGATTTCAAGAATGCCTCACTGTTGTTTCTAAATTCTTCTTAGATCACAAATTGAACTACTTTTGAAACAAAACAATGATTTCTGGAACTTGGGGTTTGTTTGCTTACCGGGGAGAGTGTTTATCACTTGTTCATCAGTTAATTCACGTTGTTAAACCTCTTCTTACTATTTCAGTTGTCAACATATAAATATTTCAGCCCAATATTTCCTGTTTGTTCCTTGCGTATTTCAAAATTGAACTATGGTAACAGTCGGGAATTGGATTTAGGCACTGTTTCCGTAGTCATGCGTTTGTTTAAATCCATAATCTGCATACTTTTTCATGTTATTCTTGGTTACAGTAGATTTGTTTCGACAAGAAATGGAGTTTTTATGGCTTTGAAAGATTTATGTATTACTTTTAATCTATTATGTATGGTTGTAGATACTTAGGCAGATGTTGGTTTGGTGATGAATTTGTTTGTTAAATGGATACATGTTCAGAATTTGATATTGATGCTATATTTGTTTCTTGACATATACAACAATGATATTAATAGGAACAGCTCATATATCTGCTTAATCTTGTATATATATAAATGAGATTAAGCAATAGAGAAGGTCAATGGTTGGCTAAGGGGTTTTTAGTTTACCTCTTAGTAGCTTCATCAAGAGGCAGTCTCTGAATGATTAAGAGATGAATCTTGTTTGGCAAAAAAAAATCTGTCTCTTAATCATTCTAAAATCTTCTGAATTATTTTGTATCTTGAGCCTTTCTTAACCATTCAGCGTCCTAATTTCATTATAAATAATTACCAAACAATTATATTTCATTTTGCACTATATCATGAAAGCCTCTTAATCATTCTGACCATTTAATTATTCTGCATCAAATCATTCAGCAACTGTTAAAGAATCTCTAATTATATGTAATGTTTTTTTATAGTAATGCACTTAGGGCCTTGCCACCATATAAGATAGGAGATGGCCAATATATCTCAACATGTATTCAAAGAATCTTGAAGTACTTGGCTAGAAAGCAATGAATTGACACCCTACCCATGACTCCATGTGATATTTAATTTTCAGATGATGTCAAAATAGCAATTAAAGATGGACATACAATAACACAAGAAATATATATATATATATATATATATATATATATATTTGTATAGGTACTGTGTTCATATATATGTATTAAAAAAAGAACCATGAGTGTTTGAGGTGACATCATGAGAATTAGGTATTGATGTATTGATGAATTGTGGTTGAATTTAAGATATCTCATATTGGTGAAGAATTAAAAGATTTAAATAAAATGAAGTGTATAAGAAAGATGGATTAAATGTTTTTATGTCAAATAATGGGGTTTGCCTTATAGGTTGTTTTTTTTTTGGATGACCCTCTTTTAAATCAATAATCATGGTTAGAAACCAAACAAACCAAATGGTATAAATTATAGTGCAAAATTAATTAAAAGATATTATTTTGTGTATCAAGTTGGTGTGTTGTATGTATATACTAATGGTTAATTTTTTTTTCTTTATCTCCAGTAGTTAATATGTTCTGTTATATATCACAAATGTATATATTATGTTCTGTCTAAGTGTCCAGTTAGTATGTTTTGTGTACAAATTTACAAATGAGATCATTAAGATAATCATATATCGGAATCTTTTTGACTGATGATTATGAGTTTCATCTAATGAATCTCTGTTATCAAAATAATGATTATGACATTTTTTATTTGTTAAAAACAGCTTTAAATTAAAATCATAGAAGGTCCAAACAAAAATAGTACCCAAAAAAAACACAAAAACATACGTAATCACAATGTGATTTTACACTAACGGTTAAGAACTGGAGACTTGGCTTACAACCTCATCTCGCAACCAAAGCCATGTGAATCACATGTGATTCTAATGTAAAATCACATATGATTATTACTATTCTTGCATCAACCCGACTCTGTATATATAAAGAAAATAGGTTCCAATCTGTTAAAGTTAGTTAGAACAACGATCATTCTTGACAACGTGTACACAACAAAACCAACACGAAATTCTAGAAGAAAAAAAAGAAACAATGCAATTAAAACTGGTGTAAACTCTGAACCATCTTCCATGATCAAGTGCTGACATAACTGGTCCCCGAAGTAGTAGTAGTCGACCCACGCTGCAACTGATGCAAAACACTGGTTGGTGACGAAGAATTGGAAGTGGAAGATGACCTCAATGCTTCAGCAAGCGGTCCACCCATTGAACCACCATGATGAGTACCCCATTGCATCCCCCAATTTAATCGCCCACGTTCTCGCTCCTCATTACTTTCTAAACCTCGACGACCCATATCACCACCGTTTCCAGTCGACAATTTCAACGAGAAATCCGAAGGTGTGTCTCCTTGCACCGAAATCGAGAGACTCGTGGCTAACATTTCTTGTTGTTGAACAGTTCGTGGCCAATCATCAAAGAAGGGACGAAGAATTCGACCATCTGACGATTTGTTGTCGTTTTCCGATGATCTATAGGTACTACCTTTGTTGTCAACAGTAGTTTTTGAGATCCTGTGAAAAATGTATGAATTCTGAGATCAGGTTTGTTAAGTAAGAACTAAATACACCTTTTTATATGTAGATATATATATATATATATATATATATATATCTAAAGGGATGAATTTGGGTGGTAGGAAGGAAGGGAAGTTATGTGAGAAGAGATGTCGATACTTAGAATCAGTTGGTCATCATATTTATTAATATTAAAAGTTATGTTATATATTTTCAACAAAATAATTGAACACAAGGACACCAGATGGATAAATGTGAGTGTGAGAGTGATTCAATGTGAATTGAAGAGACGGGAAAAGAGTGGTTGGGTGCAGAGGGATATTAAACATGGTACAGTGGAGAAATGAATGGCTGGGGTGAGTTTAGCACCAGATCAAAGGCTGATTCACCCTAGATTCCAAACAGCTTTTTCCCACACTCAAACATGGGACCCACGGCTTTTGTCCATATCTGCCTCAAAAATCCACCCCTTGTTTCAGACATATCTTTGACAAATCTTTACAACCTATAAATTCAATTTTTATTTTTCATTTTTAAACTAAAGTTTTTATTCGAGAAATTTAAGACGGATGACGTGGAAAGTGTAGATCCAAAACAAGCACAGGAACTTTTACTGTGCCCCTTTTAACATGCGCATTTAAAAGAACTAAAGCCTTATGCTTCCAACACTTGTACTGTACAACCCATGTAAGCATTTTCCAGCCAGAAAAGGTCAAAGATTAGGGTACCTTTGATTGAGATGGAGTTGATCAAAGAAAGACGAATGCCCCGAAAGACCGCCACCACAATCACTGCTACCTCCGCCAGCTGTTGTATACGGCTGAGCACCACATAGAGAACCGGTGGCGGTGGCGGTGGTGGTGGCGGCAGCATAACTAGAAATATTTGATTTTTTAACAACACCACCGCCATAATCACCACCACCACCGCCGCCTACTGTGCTCGTAGTCGGTGTGGGGATTTCCACAGGCTTTCTTGAACGGTTGCGACCACGGTGGATGTGGCGCTCACAGTACTTATGTCCACCGACCACATCTTTCGAACACCTCCATTTCTTGCCGTCGGTTCTCCTACACCTTCCTGGCTCAGGATCCATTCCTCCTCGTCCCCAGTATCCTCCTCCTGTCTGGTACACTGAACAACATACCCACATCAAACAAGATCATAAATACTTAACATACTGACTACTGAGTGAGTGTGTGTGTGTGTGTGTTTCAGAGAGAGAGAGAGAGAGAGAGAGAGAGAGTGACTTACAAGGTGGGAAGTTGGAAAGAGGGTAAAAAGAAGAGTTGGAGGTGGAGTTTGAGTTGAGTAAAAGGTGAATAAGTTGATGAGGGATGGGTGAACCAGTGAGCATGTGTCTGTATATCAATGCCTGAACTTCGAGCTCCTGCCATTGCCCCATGTTGAAGTAACCTTGCATCATCTCTTCTTCAACACACACACACACATAGATGAACATAAAGCAAAAATATCAACTTACAAAGCGACCCAAATGGGGAAAAGTGTAGAGAGAGAGAGAGAGAGAGACTTACTAGGGAATGTTGGTGAGGGTTTGGTGGAGGTAGAAGAGGTGGGTTCAGAAGAGAAAAGAGGGAGAGCAAGTGAGGAAGAAGGAAGGTGATGGTGGTCAGCTGGCCATTGTTGCTTAAGATGGAAGTCCATTGAAGGAGGTGGGGAGACAGATGAGATATTTGTTGGACAGACAGTAGTAGAGCAGCTTCAGATTGTGATTAAAAGAAAACAAAGGGCTTTTTAAAGAAAAAAGAAGAAGAGGGGATCTGTTTGTTGGGTGGGGAGTTTAGAAGTCATCCTGTAGATAGAAGCCATGAGTAGCTCACTTTAGTAAAGACATTAGGACGTGACGTGACACTTGATACCAAAACAAACAAACAAAACTCCACTAAAACTTGTGTTTCGCACCCTTCTTTACATGCTCACAAATTTTGTTTCTTTAAAATTAAAATCATGTAATAAAATTAACATGAAATATGATTCCTTAATTTACTTATAATGAAAATGTAGAGTAAAATAGTTAATATATTTCATTTAAAGTGTGGGCCAAAAAACCAAACCCATTTACTCAGGTGGTTCGACTTTATCATATTCTCATCAATTTGGATAATCAAATTCAATATCAATAAAATAATTATGAATACTCAAATCTCACGATACCATATAATTACCTTGCTTCTTCTTCTATTATATTGATGATATTTGATATTGAGATATATTGATATATTAATGGTATATATCAATTAATTTTTTATGTAGACTGACTTTTTAAGAAGGTTGGCCAAAATGAAGCAATTTCATGACTTCAAAAGATCGATTAAAATGAACCAATAATATGATTTATATAATCAGTTAAAGGGTTTTAACCACAAGAGTTGTCACAAAGGCATCTTAACCTTTTTTCATATAGATATCATTAATTGTCAATCTTTCATTTTCCCATCTATGTGGGATAAACAAAATTCAACCACATATTAAGGAATGAAGATTACTCAATTATTTGGTTGCAACATATATTGTGGTTTTTTACTTTTATATTTTAATTTGTTTCTAACTGTGTTTTGCATGATATTTTAACTGTATGTTTTGCACTATATTACGATTAGGTTGGTTTTCATTCCACCTATGTTTATAGATTTTAAAACATTCATCACTCATTTATATATCCTTCCAAACCATCATCTCTCCTCCAATGAGGGTGAGGAAACTCAACCTCATTTCAAGACGATTGATGTTTTCTTAAATAAATAATTTGTTTTCAATTTTGTGTTTGCTTGATATTTTAACGGTCTTTTACACAATAATTTGTTTTCAATTTCGTGTTTTGCATGATATTTTAACTGTATTTTGCAATAAATTTTTAGCATTTGATTGGTTTTGATTTCAACCGTAGGTTAACGATTTCACATCATCAATCACTCTTTTATATATTTATCATCTTTTTCTAAACTATCATCTTTCCACCAATATATGAGATTATGAAAGTCAACCTTCTTTTAAGATTTGAGTAATACTCAAACATCATGCTATCAAGTCATATTAGCCTTGGTTTCACTTTTAATATATATCTATATACACACATACACACACTAGGTTCGATCCCATGAATTACACAGGGTAATCTAAGAAAATTAAATCATGTCAAGATACTTATCTTAAATATATGAATGATCATCGAAAGTACGATGCTACTTCAGACTTATACTCTTAAAATAACTCTAACAAATARCWCWGATTAAATGACTCTTCAGACTTAAATTTAGAAATGAAACTATATCAGTAAATTGAATTCAAACTTAGAAGTAAATTTAGAATGACTCTTCAGATTTGTACTCTTAAAATAACTCTGAAGAATGACTTTAAACTTGTACTCTTGAAATAACTTTAAAGTAAAACTCTAAAGAATGACTTCAGACTTGTACTATTGAATATAACTCTGAAGAATGATTTTTCAGACTTGAATTTAGAAATGAAACTATATCAATAGTTAGTTAAAATGAAATTAACCCTAGAATAAAATTGAATTTAAAAATGAAATTATATCAGTAAATTGAATTTAAACTTAGAAAAGTGCATGTGTCAAATATGAAGATGAAGTATGAAGACCTTGAGTTCAGAGTTATTCAAATATTCAATATCTTTGAAAAAGACCCCATGGTAAAGCTTGCATCATACAGAGCAAGACCAACTAGAGCTCCTCTGGTCCTTAAGAACTAGTGCCCCTCTGAACTCACCAACCAAAAGTAAGACCAACCCAAAAGTGTTGATCCTCTCTCTCAATGATTTGATGATAATCCCTTTTCACTTATATGTTGTATTTAGTTTCTGTCTTTTCAGTTCCAACGATCATCACTGAGTCTGTTCAGTGATCGCTGAAGAACTTGTATTGTAATTCAATCAAAGACAGGATACTTCAAGAAGACAACACTCACACCAAAGAACCTTCAGCCAAAGTCGAAGAATAAAACTGAAGATTAGAGACCGGCGAGTACGTGATCTGAAGCGATACTCGGTGATTACAAGCCTGTCTACATATGTGTGAAGACTGCTCAAGCCTCAACGAATACTGAAGAGACCTCCAGGTTATTCCAGCATTCAGCGATCAAAGGAAGCTTGCCAAGCACGATTGTTGTAGTCTTGTCCTTATGCACACAAAGGACAAACCCATACCATTTCTAAATGTTGGTACGGTATGGAGCCGACTAGTTGACTCTATTGTCCACCAACTTTAGGTAAGGATGTCTGCTCATAAATAGTCTTTTTTGTACTATTCACTGTAGCAAAGGACAAACCTTCCTCTTAAGGCTTGACACACACTCTAACCCTACCATATTGCATTAAATGAGCATTTAATGCAATGAGTATAAATAGAAGTGTTTCTACTCCATGCAGAGTGTGCGCAATTCACTCTCATAACCTAATTCTTACTTTGAGCATTCTAGCTTAAGTAAAAGAACTTTTCTTTACATTTCTTTTCTCATTTGCTAAGATTCTGTGTGTAAGCAAAGATTTTTGAGATTGGTTTTCTTACCATATCTTTCCGCAAACAGTCTTGTAAAATTTGTATTGATCTTCTCTATCAATATACATTTTAAATTTGAAAATATCGTGTTTGTATTCATCTCCCCCTTCTACAAACTGTTTTACTTATCTTGTATACCCTCAAAGGACCAACAAAAAGCAAGGCCAACCAAAGGCTCTCTAGTCAACCAGAGCCTCTGGTTCGTCTATCCATAGCCTCTAGGTCAAGAAAATTTTAAATACTTAAATAATTTGAGTTCCAATTCCCTCTAGTTAAACATGAAGATTAACCAAATCCCCTCTGGTTCCTTTATGATGGATTGGAATATTTTTCCAAGGTTCAAATAAACAACCAGAAGTAAAGCCATCCAGAAGCAAGACCAACCAGAGGGGCTCTGGCTTACAAGTCTAAGTCTTAAAGATTTATCATCAAAGTGTAGATAAGTCTATTACAAGGCTTGTACTCTTAAAATAACTCTGAAATAAAACTCTTCAGACTTCAGAGCTCTATATAGGCAAGCCAGAAGCTCTGCATGTATTATGCAGAGGCTCTGCATGGTGGCCCGTCTAGAAAATAAGACTTCATAATTTTGGTGAGCTAACTCTAAAGAATGACTCTTCAGACTTGTACTCTGGAAATAACTCTGAAGTAAAACTCTGAAGAACGACTTCTTAGACCTTTACTCTTGAAATTACTCTGAAGTATAAAATCAATCCCACTAAATTAGAGTTCAGACTTCTAAGTCTAAAAAAAGAAGACTTCAGAGTTCAGACTTCAGAGTTCAGAATTCGGGTGAGTTAAGTCTGAAAAAGAAGACTTCAAAATTCACCGAACTAACTCTGAAGAATGACTCTTGAGACTTGTAGAAGACTTCAGAGCTTAGAGTTCAGACTTCTAAGTTTGAAAAGGAAGTCTTCAGAGTTCGGATTTCTAACTCTGAAAAAGTAGACTTCAGAGTTCGGATGCTAAGTCTGAAAAAGCAGACTTCAGAGTTTGAGTGAGCTAACTTTAAAGAATGACTTTAGAATTGTTCTCTTGAAATAACTCTGAAGTAAAACTCTTCAGTAAATTGAATTTAAAATAAAATGAAGTTAACCCTGGAATAAATTGAATTTAGAAATGAAACTATATCAGTAAATTGAATTTAAACTTAGAAGTAAACACCATTTTTTTTCTGGGAATCTGTTACCACACAAATTAATTAACCCAAGAATAAAATCAATTGCATTCTAAATTAGTGGGATTGATTGAATAAGAGGATACGTGTTAATCAAATGAGTCTAATTGAATTGCTAATGTAAGTTGTGTCTAGATACGTTCAAATGAGTATAATTAAAGAGTTGATGTAAATTGTGTCTAGATACATGTTTAGGCGGGAAAACACTAAAAGCGGCTCACTAGAAGATGACACGTGTCACTCCAGTTACTTATTTATTATAAGTGTGTGTTTGTATATATATATATATATATATATATATATATATATATATATATAAGGAATACTTCAAACGAGAACCCATGTGATTTACGAGAACACGAGAACAACCTATTAACCTCATATTGTGATAACAATAGAAATTAAAAGATTTTTTAAATTAAAATTGAAATTTAAAATGATTAAAAAAGAATTTGAGAGTCAAAAGGGTAATATTGGAAATCAAAATGATAAAATTTTAAACACGATCACATTAACCCAATCATCCTGGAAATTAGAGTTATCGACTTATTTCAACACTTATCATTTATTCAATCTGAGAAGAAGGTATCAATTAAGAAGGCATCAAAAGGATTTCAAGGAGAAATCAAAGATCAAGAAGCCGTAAAGTTCGGATGCAGGTATCGAACAACAAGAAGAAGCCGTAAGGTTTGCATACAAGAATCGAACAGCAAGAAGAAGCCATAGAACACAGTTTATTCAAGGTATCTGTCGCTATTACTCGATTTGAACATGCTTTCAATCGATTAGTAATAGAGAATCACACATTTATCACAACGATTACGGGCGAAATCGACTAAAAGAGTTGGTGTGATACGGGTGTGATAATCATGTGATATCACTATTATAGCATCACTTGCTCATAGTCGCACCCGATTT